TATATATATATTCTACTTTTATGCAATACCCTGCACCAGGGAGAACTAGAATCTTAGAAACAGTATAAGATAATTCTGATCTTTAAACTGGGTAAAAATTCTCAGGAATTGGCATCTTACAGACCCATCTCACCCGTATCAATCAATCTGGTTTCATTCCAAATTGAAATATAGCTACTCCTATCAGGAAAATTATTAAATATTAATCAAATTAGTAAAATTAATAAACTGTTCCTTAGAAACTTTAAAACTTTTTAAAGCTTTCGATTCTTTCAAACTACAATTGTTAAAACAAATATTAAAGAAATTTAAATTCAGCTGGCTTTTGCAGAAGACTGAGTATATTTATGGACCAACTAAAGCTCAGATAAGACTTAACTGTTATTGATTCATATTCTGTTATTGAGAGGGCTGCCTCTTGTCACATCTGTTATTCAACCTAGCCACAGAAGCGCTTAGCAATAGCACTCAGATTTAACAATCAGATTTATGGGATGAAACTGGGCAAAAAGACCTATCTTTTAAATTTATTTGCAGATGATATGGTTCTGAGTCTCTCAAATGATAACTAATTCAGTTAACTATATTAAGGAGTTAGAGGAATTTGAAGAGGTATCAGGACTATCAGTTAATTTCCACAAATCACATCTGATGCTTTTTCACACACACCCAAAAATTCAAAAGGAAATTTCTATAGATTTAGGGATTTAAATAGTATATAAATCTTTAAAATATTTAGGGATCATTATTACCAAAAACATTAAGAAAAATTATTAATATTTATATACCAACATGGAAGTAATTAAACAGGGAAATGAAAAGTTGGGCTACAAAACATTTCAACATTTTAGGGCAAATTGCAGCAGTTAAAATGAAAATCCTTGCAAGGCTCAATTTTCTATCTCAATGCCTCCCAGTGGAAATTCCAAAACAGGTTTTAACATATTGGCAAAAATAATAAAAGTGTTTACATTCATGCAATAAATAAATAAATAAATAACCCTATAGATAAGTGGCCACGAGATTGGAAAAGGTCAGTTTACGTTCTAATTCCAAAGAAGGGCAACGCCAAAGGATGCTCAAACTATCACACAAGCACTCATTTCACATGCTAACAAGGTTATGCTCAAAATCCTACGAGCTAGGCTTCAGCAGTACGTGAACCGAGAACTACCGGATATACAAGCTGGATTTCGAAGAGGCAGAGGAACTAGAGATCAAATTGCCAACATTGGCTGGATCATGGAGAAAG